TTACAACCCATTCTGTACAACCCAGCCAGTCTTCCCAGCTTTACGTTTGACCCATGACACCTATCACGTTGTAACAGACCACGTGCAGATTTTCCTTATTTGTTGTGTTTTTGTCTCCCCCACCAGAATGTCAGCTCTGTGAGAGCACAGATTTTTGTCTGGTTGGTTCCTTGCTGTATCTCCAGCTTCTAGAACATTGTCTGGCACATAGTGGCGCTCAGTAAATATTTGTGGGAGGGAGAGGTAGATGGAGGGAGGGATGGAAGGAGGGATAGAGGGATGGAAGGAGAGAGGGAAGGAGAAAAGGATGGTGGGATGGATAGAGGGAGGGAGGGAGGAGTAGAGGGAGGGATGAAAGGAGGGAGGGAGGGATGAATGGGTCCTACCCAGGGCCCCAGGAGATAAAGAGATACAGGCCTCAGCCCCAGGTCTGCCCAGCCCCACAGCCTATGCTCCGACCACTGCACTCTCCTGCCACTGCCTGGCATGTCCCCGTGGCAGAGCCTCTGACCACCCTGGTTACATGGGACAGTGTGCAAGTCTGAGACAGCTGTAGAGCCCGAGCCTCACCCGGCACGGCTGCAGGCATGGCATGGGTACCGGGGTTGCCTGCTGCATGAGCCAGGAGTGAGTGAAGCGTGAGCCAGGGACTGTCCGTGTTCCAGGGCAACCAGGACGTGTCTGGTCCCGTGTTCCCGGTGCGAACACACTCAGGGCTGGCAGGCCTCAAACCGGCTCTGCCAGTGCGGCCAGGGCGGGGTGGGCGCTGCAGGTTCAGGCTGGCACGGCGGGCAGATGAAGGGGTGCTGCCAGAGCCGGGACCCGCCACTCGGGGAGGGACAAAGCTAAGCAAGTGGACGGCGCCGCTCCCACTAATCCCGGCCCCGAGCAGACAGAACTGTTCTGGCCTGAGCGGCTCTTGGGTTTCTTCCTGGGCAGTAAGGGGATCCCTTTCCAGACCCCAGGCCCTGCCCTGCGCTGTAAAGGGCAGGATCCCTTCCCGCTAGGATCCGTCCACAGCCTAGAAGCCCGAGACAGAAGGGCAAGGCCGGGAAGTGGCCGGCGCCAGAGCAGGACAAGGCAGCAGGGAACCTGGTGTAAAGCCTGGCTCTGTCCCACGGTGCTGCACAGCCCTGAGCCAATTGTGGCCCTTTCAGGACCGTTTCCCCAGGTGGAAAGCAATGCTGGGCAAGGATTCCAGGGACCCTCCATCCCAAGGTGCCGATTTATCTAGAAGAGGCCACCTCGGTGACTCCAGCCCTGCCCCCAAAGCCCACCTCTGAGGATAGACATGGCCAGAGCCCGGACTCACACACGTCCTTACTCCCCACAGAAACAACAATGATAAAAATACCTGCTGAGGGCTTCCCTGGTGGCGCAGTGGTTGAGAATCCGCCTGCCAGTGCAGGGGACATGGGTTCAAGCCCTGGTCCGGGAAGATCCCACATGCCGCGGAGCAACTAAGCCCGTGCACCACAACTTCTGAGCCTGTGCTCTAGAGCCCGTGAGCCACAACTACTGAGCCTGCGTGCTGCAACTACTGAAGCCCGAGCACCTAGAGCCCATGCTCCGCAGCAAGAGAAGCCACCGCAATGAGAAGCCCACACACTGCAACGAAGAGTAGCCCCCGCTCTCCACAACTAGAGAAAGCCCACGCGCAGCAAAGAAGACCCAACACAGCCAAAAATAAATAAAATAAAATTTAAAAATAAATTTTAAATACGTGCTGATCACTGAACACTTAACTCCATGCCTGGCATCCAGCTTTACATGCACTGTTTCACCTGGTCCTCCCAACAGCACTGTGAGGTAGGGACTGTTACTGTGCCCATTTCCCAGCAGAGGAAACTGAGGCCTAGTTGAGGCAAGTTGGAGTTCAGGCCCCCCACCCCACCCCTGGGCAGCCTCTATCTCCCCAAGACAGTTCAGGGTAGGAAAGAAATCTCAGGTATCCCCTGAAATGGCAGGGCCCATATTCCCCAAATCCATTGATCCTCCTGACCTTAGAGGCCAAGCCCCAACCCTGCCCCCACTGTGTAACCCAGGCCATGGGTGTACCACTCAGAGCCTCAGTTCTCTCATCTGTAAAATGGGTAGGATCTTGCCAGGTTTGCCTAAGGGATACCGCTGTTTAAAGCCACGGGAACTGGAAGACTCAGTCCAACCCTCAGGACAAGGTGGAGAAGCTGCTGGGCCTACGTGCCTCGAGATGGATTAGGGGGAGGGAGAGTGAACATGAACCAGAAGCCCAGTGGTCTGTGGCGGAGACTCAGCCCCTCATTACCAGCAGCCCAAGAGAGGAAGGATGATTCTTCCTGTGCCCCATGTAATCCAGTTCCAAGCCCTGTCAGTCTCACCTCCAAACACATCCTGAATCCACTTCCTTCCCTCCCACCACGGTCACCCCCTCGTCCAGCCCAGGCTGGCCAATTGTAGGCAGAGAGCCTTTCTGAAATGTCCATCTGAACCCATCACTCCTGCTTACACCCCTCACAGCCCACACTCCAAGACAAAAGACAAAGTCCTCGCGGGGGGCCTCCGAGGTCCTGCAGTGGACATTCCCAGCCCCACCCCCTTCACTCCTGCTCCACCCACACTGGCCACTTCCCCTTTCCCTGAGAACCCAATACACTTCTGCCTCGGAGCCTTTGCACTTGCTGTTCCCTCCACCCAGAGCATACTTCCTCCAGACAGATGCCTGACTCCCTCGCTTCCTTCAGGTGCTTTACTCAAATGTCTCCTGCTCAGAGAGGCCTTTCCTGACCACCATTTTAAATAGCAGCACGCCCAGCCAATTCCGCTCTCTCTTTGAGCCTCATTTCAAAAGCCACTTCCTCACGGGAGGCCTCTCTGACCTCCCCCAGCCCAAGTAAGAACCTTCAACTTCTCCTTCCCAGCATGGACCATGGCTCTGACGACATAGCATACCGTATGACTACATGTCTCATGAGGACAGGGGCCACTTCTGTCTCACTCACAGCTGAATACTCCGCAGTGGGCGTAATATTCAAAATAGTTAACAGCTGGGATGCTGCGGCGCCATCTGGTCAGAATAGACACTGGCCCAAAGTACAGGGCCCAGCATGGAGTGGGTACTTGGTAATTACTGAATGAATGAACAAATGAACAAAAGGATGAATGGAGGGATGGATGGATGGATGATAGATGGATAAGATGGACGGATAGATGGATGGATGGATAAGTGAACAGGGCACACACAGTGGGCCTGGGACTTACCAGGGATGCCCGGGGCTTAGAAAAGGTGGCCCGGAGAAGGGAAGGGTGCATCCAAGCTCACCAGCCAGGCTCTGCAACTGCAGCCTCTCCTCCTGCACAGCCCGACTTTCATTTCCCATCCTTTCGGTCTGAGGAAGCTCCTTCCCCCAGGGGAACTGGGTGAGAAGGCGGGGCAGATGGCCCCCTGGTCCCAAAGAGGGGGGGCTCCCAGACTCCATCTGTCCCACCACAAAGGAGCTTTGTCCTCGGTGCTGAGAGCCCGGGGCAGACCGGAAGCTGCCCCTCAGCCTCCCAACAGGTCCCGGCACCCCCGGTCAGCTGGGCCAACAGCTCCAAAGCCAGATCCCAGGGACTGACACAGTATTGGGCACAGCCTTCTAAAATCTCATTAATCCTCCCTGGGAGCCCTAGGAGGGAGGTTCTAGGACGACCCGAATTTTTACAGATATAGAAACTGAGGCAAAGTTATCTGGCCAAGGTCTCCCAGCCAGTAAAGAGCAAAGCTGGGATTCAAACCCAGGCCCACCTGGCACCAGAGTCTTCAGCCACAGCTCTCAACTCACCATGTCTGGAGTATAGACCCTCTGGGTTCAGCAGGGTGGAGGGGCCTTGTGGAGGTACAAGTGGGCAACCATGCCTGACCCTTCACGCTACCAGGAGACTACCACCCTGGCGAGGTTTACCCAACAAGGGAGGGAGGTCGGGCCCTGAACCCCGGAGCCCTCGCCCCACGCCCAGCCCGTGCCCCAGGTGCCTCTGGAGTCTGCCGGCCCCAACACGTCTCCACCGCTTCCTGCCAGGCAGGCGTGCACAGGGAAAGGCTGTGCGGGCAGGCAAACCAGGGGGCAGACACCCCCCACCCCTCACCCGCCGCTCCCCTGTCGCTTCCAGACCTGCCACCTGCCTGGCCGCCACCCACCTTCTCTCCAGGCCCATCTGCTCTCAGGGCAGTCACCAGAGCCACTTCACCAAAGCCACACTGCTGACGGGACACCTACCCTCAGCTGGGCACTACCCACAGCACCAGACAAATCAGTTCTGTCCCCCCTCCTCCGCACCTCTCCTCGCTGCCCGAGGGCAGTGTGTAGTCTCACCAGGCAGGTACTCCCAGCCCTCCATTGATTGGCGTCAGCCACCTCTCAGGGCCAAACTCTACCACTCCTCTGAGCTCCAACAAGAGCAACTATTCACACTGCATCTTCAGGCCTTTCTCAAGCTCCACCTGCTCCCAGAGAACCATTCCATTCTTCCAGGTATGTCATATGTACCGCTTCCTCCAGGAAGTCTTCCCTGACCCACTCCCTCCAAGACCCCAGACCAGCCCCTACCTTCTGTCCCAGATAGGGGTTCTTGATCCTTATCTTAAACCCCAGCCTCTGTGGGCTACCTTCACTTGGCAACAGTAACTGAGCACTTGAGCCCGGCCTGATCCTTCTCTCTGTCCTCCCTTTACACCTTCAGCAGGAGGCCTGCCCTGCTCCCAGCAGCCCCAGGCCAAAGCCTTGCCTGATCAACTGAGACATCGTCTAAGTACCTTGTACTTGACCTACCGCTCCCCACCTCCCCAGGCTACGTGGACACACATCAGGCTCTTTCCCACCTCCAGATCTTTGCTCATGCTTTCTCTTCTTCCTGGTAGGCCCTCACCCTTCTTTTCCCCTCATGAGATCCTGCTCACCCTTTAATCTTCAGGCCAGGTTATCACCTCCTCTGCAAAGCCCTTCTGGCATCATAATAGCTGCCCCAGTTCATATGGTTCCTACCTCATGGTAGGGCAACGATCAGGGTCTGTGTCTGGCTCCCCCAGGTTGTAGGCTGCTCCCAGAGTGAATCTTTGGGGTCCCCAGCACCCAGCACAAGGCCCAGACCTCACCAGCAGGTAATCAGAAGTCCAGCTGCCGACTCCCTGCCTGGAGACCCCAGGGGCAGAAGCCAGGAGCAGCTCCCAGAGGCAGTACTGAGTCCGATTTTGCCCACACTGCCCACAGATCTAAGGTAGGGGCGGAGTGGGGGAGAGGGCTTTCCACCAACGGCCAACTGGTAACCAAACCCACGTCGTTTCTGAAACTAGGGCACAGGAGAGAAACGGGAACAGCAGAATTGTCCCCAAATAGAACTGTGGCTCATCTGGTTCCAGGGCCTCCGGGAACACCTGGCAGGGGTGGGGGTGGGGAGGGCAGGTGGCTGCTCCAGAAGCTGTGAAAGGAGATCTAAAGTTTGGAGGGTGGGGAGGTCGACACCACCGCAGTCGGCACTGACACCCTGCCCACCTCCCTCAGGGCTGGTCCAAATCCTGGAAGGTGGGGGGTCCTCTCCCACTTTCCCCCACCCACCCATGGGGTGCTCCCTAAACCATCCCACCTCCCAGCCTTTGCTCAGCCGGGTCCTCTGCCTGGAATGCTGCTCCCCTTGCTGCTAGTCAGAATCCTGCCAATCCTTGTAAACGTAGCCACGGACTGGGCACTTTCTATAAGCCCGACATGGGCAGGCATCTGGGGAGAATGAGCTTATCACATCTTCCCAACAGCCCTGTGAGGAAAAGACCCCTGCCCCCATCTCACAGATAAGGAAACTGAGGCTCAAAAAGAGAAGCCATTTGCCCAGGACACAGAGCAGAGGAGGCAGGTGGACCAGGTGATGTGGTGGGACCTGGGTGGCGGCAGCCAGAGGGCACCCAGAAGGCCTGGCAGGGCCTGGTTCAGCTTCCTAGGCAGGCCCAGCCTTGGGGACTTGGCATAACTCAGGGCCAGAGAACACAGGGCACAGCCCCACAGGGCGCAGGGGACAGAACAAGAGCCCCTACATCCCTCTGACCCCCATCCTAGGGTGGCTGAGGACTGAGGAGCCACATTGGTACAAAGTGATGGAACTATCTCCCCCCAGATATGCACAGACCCACTGCACAGATGAGAAAACTGAGTCCTGGAAGGGGACAGTTTCCCCATCTGGAAAGTGAGATGTGCCACAGGAACCTTCTGGCTGTGACATCCCCCTGTGGTCTGGTGGATGCTATTTCCTTTCTCTGGGTCTCAGTTTTCCTATCTGGAGAATGGGGCTGTGATTCCCTTCCTCCCCAGGTTGAAACAAATTATAAAACAGCTAACATTTATTGAGCATTTACTACGTGCTGGCATTGCTCAGAGCATCACGCATAGTGCCACACTCGATCCTTAGAACAAGTCTGTGATGTGGATACTGCCATCAGGCCTGTTTTTCAAATGGGGAAACTGAGGCAGAGAGAGGTGAGCTGACTCACCAAAGTCACACAGCTAATATGGAGGTAGAGGAGAAACCCGTGGGGCTAGGGGTGGGGTGGCTTCCCAGAGGAGGCTCCTGGCCTTCACACTGCCCAGAGAGGAGCGGCAGGGAGGGGCTGGAGGAGGGGTCAGGGGTCAGGCAGGAGGCAGAGTGGGGCTCAGCCCAGAGGAGGCAGGGCAGGCCTGCGGTGCTGAGGAGGCCCTGGGTCCAAATCCACGCACTGGGTGGCTTCGGCAAGCCTTTTTGCTCCTCTGAGCCTCAGTTTCCTCTTTGGTAAAATGGGGCCAGAACTGCTGCCTCGCAGGGATGCTGTGGGGACCAGACACAGCCGTTCGCCTGGCACTGGGCAAGGGCTCAACTATGTGCTCAAGGAACGGATGACAATGGAAGGAATCCTCAGAGCTGGGCCACTGGGCTCACTGTTCCTTTAGGATCCGGGTGGTATCCGACTCTCCACTCCGAAGGGGTGGGAAGGGGGGCCCAACCTGCCTCTTCTCTAATTCCTAGATAGAACCCTCCCAGCTCTGCCAGCTTTCCAGGCTGTGTGACCTCAGACAAATCACTTCACCTCTCTGAACTTCCGGATCTTCCTTTTGATAATAAGTCGAGGCTTCCACAGGGCTCTGAAAAAGGAGTTCCTCACTGGAAGGACTAAGGGCTTATGCGGGGAGGGTGGTTCAGTTCCACCTGCCAAAGCAGAGACAGTAGTGTCTGGCATGACCCTGCCTTGAGGCCTCAGTTTCTTCATCTGCCAAATGAAGATTTTTTTTTTTTGCCATGCTGCGTGGCTTACGGGATCTTAGTTCCCCGACCAGGGATCGAACCCGCACCCCCTGCAATGGAAGCACAGAGTCCTAACCACTGGACCGCCAGGGAATTCCCCAAATGAAGATTTTTATGATGGTCTGTCTCCCTCCCAGCCCTGCTGGGGATGGCCAGAGGTGATTGAGGAAAGTGCTTTGTAAACTGTAAAGTGTGGCACCCTTGGGAGTGATCACTATCACTGTACTCCCTTAGAGGCAAAAAGAATCCTATGACTTGCCATCTAAGGCAGAATGTGCTAGAGCCATGAGGGAGGGCAGAGAATGGGCAAGGCAGGTGCAGAAGAGGGGAGCGTGGAAAGTATGGACTTGGGTTGGGGCAGAGAGGATGGTCAACAAAAGCTTTCCGGAGGCAGAGGCATCTTAGCCATGATGGGTGTGGAGAGGGAGGGCACACCAGGCAGCAGGACCCACAGGGTAAAGCATGGATGCTGGAAAACCCGGGGCCAGCAGGAAAGCAGCTGATGGTTCAGAAAGGCTAAAGGGTCACCTGAGTGAAAGGGAGGTGTGGGAGGTGACAGAGTGAAGCAGAGGAAAGAGCTCGGCCCAGACCACCAGCACCCCCAGGGGCCCTTGCTGGGGACCTTCCCCAAACCACAAGAGCAGTAACAGCCCCTGCCTCCAGGCCACGTGGGCAAAGACGCAAAGCACCCAGTGCTCAAACGGCAGCCACCTTCAGAGAGATGGACTCATTCAGTGAGGGGGCCTTGAATGCCAGGGCTCAGGGCACTGGGAGGCCTTGACAAGCCACAGAAGGGCAAGGGCTGAGGCGGGAGGTGGGCTCAGGGAGGCTGGCTGGAGATGGGGGCTTCCAGTAGGTCCAGCCACCAAACTTGTCTGTCTCTAGTTAACCTCCCCACCAGCCCCACCCCATAGGACTAGCCTGAACACAGGCGTCCAGTCTCAGCCCTAGCGTTCCTGGATCAATTGACCTGCAGAGACCCAGAATTCCCACCTCGTCAGGGAACTACCTTCATAATCACAGACACTCAGAAATCGTAAACACTTACTGTGTGGGGGCCCTGCGCCGGAGCAGACACAAATTCGCTCACCTGACCCTCATGCCACCTTGTCAAAGCTGTACTGGCATTGTTGTCCCCACATCAGAGATGGGGAGACTCAGGCTCAGAGCAACCATTTTCCCACAATCACACATAGCAAACAAGTGGCAGAGCCAGGACTCGAACCAGAACCAATTCGCTCCAAAGGCCTGGCTACTTCCACTCCCTTTAGTCCATGAGCATCCATGGAGCACCCATTATGTGCCAATCCTGGAAGCTGGGGATCCCAGCAAGATCCCAGTCCTCCAGATCTGAGTGTAGATCCACCAGCCAGAGGTGGAAGCCCAGAAAGTCAGGATCTCCTGCCCGCCCAGCAACACATCCACCCTCTACCCGGGGAAAGAGCTCAGCCAAGCTGAGCGCACACCCAGTGGGACTCAGATGCCTCACATCAACCAGAAGCCAGATGTCTGGGCTCACATCTCACTCCGCTGGGTGATTGTGGCCCCAGACCTTGGCCTCTCTGAGCCTCATTTCCCTCTTCTATGTAATAGAAACAAAAATTCCATCCACCCCAGGGATGGGACAAAGAATGGAATAAGTCACCTTGCTATGACCTGGCCGGAGAGGGCACAAGTGAGGACATCGACATCAGACAGAGTAAAAGTCAAGGCCACAAATTTGGATAAAGCAGGGGGAGAAAAGATAATCAGACCTTGACAGGGAAGCTGAGCTTCCCGACACCACACTTACCCCAACTTCCATCCCCCCGCCGGGAGACCACCTGTGCCGGCCTCACAGCCCAGCAGGTCTGAGGACTCCAAGGACCCATCCCCACAGTCTCTCAACAGCCCCCCACAGCCCCGCTGACATTGCCAGGCTCACACGGCATCAAAGAGGACTCAGCCAGGCCAGCCCCTGGAGAACCCCGGCTAAGATCCCTGTCGCAGAGCCTCAGGAGGGAAGATCCCATGCCGGACAGATGAAGAAACTGAGGACCAGAGGAGGAAAGGACCTGGGCAAGATCACCTGGCTTCTTCTCCTCTCTTGCTTCTCATTTTATACTGGAACTTCTCTGGGTAGTTTCAAGAGGAGGGGAGGTACTGGGGTTCAGGTTGGAGGGGAAGTCACTTGCTCAAAGTCCCACAGAAAGGGGTGGGGAAATCAGGGTTCTGGCTTCCACCTCTGGGATCTTCCCCAATCATCTACTCTTTGACTCAGCCCCCCATCCCCTGCATTGTATTGTGGGAAGGAACAGGCTGGCTGGGTGGGGAGAGCCCTGGATGAAAAGATAGGAGATGGGGCTTCCCTGGTGGCGCAGTGGTTGAGAGTCCGCCTGCCAATGCAGGGGACACGGGTTCGTGCCCCGGTCCGGGAAGATCCCACATGCCGCGGAGCGACTAGGCCCGTGAGCCATGGCCGCTGAGCCTGCGTGTCCGGAGCCTGTGCTCCGCAACGGGAGAGGCCACAACAGTGAGAGGTCCGCGTAACACACACACACACACACACAAAAAAAAGATAGGAGATCTGCATTTTTCTCCCTGCTTGGACAATATGTTCTGGGTCTTTCTGGCCTCAATTCCCCCATCTGTGAAAAGAGAAGGTCAGAATAGATCAGGAATGACAAACTCATGGCACACATACAGTGATGTCTAATCCTCTGTCTGGGGCAGACATTACTAATCTATCACAGCACTCTTTCCCATGAAGCCAAGAATGGACCTCAGAAGCTTTTTCAACACAGCAATCTTGGTCTGGGTTAGGCCTAACCCTAACCCGAGCCCGAACCTTAACCCTAACCCTAACCCTAACCCTGGGCCATCCCTAGACTGGGTAATATCTGAGTCCCCGCAAGGGACGGGAAGGGGGAAAGAAAGACGTAACATTTACTGGGCATCCAATAGTTTCAAGCTGCTGGGAGACATTCTCTGATTTAATCCTCACAAGGGAGGTGTGCAGAAGCTGAGGTTCAGGGAGGCTGAGTGATTTGCCTTTGGACAGACAGCTGGGAACAGGGCCTTGAACACAGGGGAGGTACCTACTGGGTCACCCACCCCAGGAACAGTGATGCAGAGCCAGCTACCAGGTGAGAGCCTAAGGTACAGCTTCACGCCATCCTCCTTTTGGCCATACTAAGTGCAACATCCATGCCCATTTTACAGCTTCACAAACTGAGTCACAGGAAGGGGGTGTCAGCTGCCAGAAAACAATGGCCTCGAGCAGGTGTCTGGCTGTTCCCCACCCCTATCTATCGAGCTAATGTGTGCTAAACGCTTTACTTCAGTCCCCTTGGGACATCCTGGGAGCCATGACTCATACTACCCCACTTCATAGATGAGGAATCTGAGATGCCCCCAAAGGAAGGGGCCCCCACCCCTCTAGGGGCTCGAGTGGAAACCAGAGTGGTTTACCATGGAGATAAGGTGGTAGGAGCAATGGAGGGGAAGTAAAGTGCTGGGGGAACCCAAAGGGAGATAGAGGCTCGGGGGCCACACAGCTCAGGCAGGAAATGAGGCTCCGGTCAAAAAGCCCAGGGCAGGGGGGTGGAGGCCTTTGAAGGGGCTGTAAGCCCTACAGAGACACGGGAGGCCCAGCCCTGGAATAGGAGCCCAGAGCCCCACAGCCTAGGTGCGGCCCTGTCACTTGGCAACTGGGAGACCCTAACAAGTGTCTTCCCCTCTGGGTCTTAGAATTTACATGTGGAAAATGGGGCTAATCTCACCAAAGGCAAGCTTTCAAGAAGTTGGGATGGGCTACACCAGCGGACCTCTCCCAGCTTAGCCTCCTCACACACAGAGGGCAAGGCAGGACTCAAGTCGCCCGGTATACGGGTGGCCTTGGCCGCCAGCATCCTTTCCTAGACCAGTACCTTCAGAATCAGTGGGAATCATCCACTCAAATCCTTCACCGGACAGCTGGGGAGGCCAGACCTATTGGATGAACTGACCCGCCCAGTGTCACACCATACAAGGCAGGTCCCATTTCCTGAGCACCTGCTGGCTCCAGGCACTGGGCATACGGCCCTCCTTTAACCCTCACCTGATAGGAAGATATTTACTGTTCCCATTTTCAATACAAGGAAGCTAAGTCTCAGAAAGATAGAATGAATGACCCAAAGACACACAGCAGGCGGGCACGGTCAGAACTTGAACGCAAGCCTGTCTGAGTCCTGAGCCCTTACCTTACCTTTGTCTCCATCTCCCCAGCCGACCCCTCCCTGCTCCCCACCTCACTCCCAGCCTCCAGTCACCCTGCGTGGCACTGCCCCAACCCCTGGCTCTCACCCTCTCCTGCCTTCCTGCTACCGAACTCCTACGCTACTTTCAAAGCCCAGCCTCAAATGCCGCCTCCTCTTGATATCTGATCTAGGCCCTCACAGAATACCTGGAGTCCAGCCCACAGATCTTTTTCCACCAGGTGCCTTGGTCACCTCTGCACCCCTGGTCTCCAACATGGGGCTGTTAACCCCGGGGACACCAATCAGCCCCCTGTGGGAAGATGAAGGCCAAGCTCCTCCTCAAGGCCTACATGGCCCCACATGGCCCAGTCCTGCTGACAACACCCCCTCACTCACCTCTCACCCACTCCCCTTAATTTTCTACGCTCCAGACTCACAGGCTTTCTCCTTGTTTCTCCACAAGAGCACACGCTTCCCCACCTCAGGACATTTGGAGTCCCCTCTGCCTGGTAAGCCCTACCCGTAGCTCCATGCCTGGCCAACTCCTCCACGCTTCCTTCGAGATTCCTCTGCACCCCACGCCTCTCCCTCTGAGCCCTTATCACATCTGTGATTATGTATTAATTTATTTGGCAACCTGTTTGCTACTTGGCTCACCCTCTAGACTTAAATTTCTGGGCAGCCAGGGACCTGTTCACAATTCCCCAGCAAGGACCCACCCAGGCTGACCACTCCTCACAACCCCA